AAGAAAGCCTCATCTACCTCATCCACCTGGTTCGGTGGCCTGTAGCAGACACCAACCACAACATCACTGCTGTTTGCTCCTTTAAACCTGACCCATAGACTTTCAACAAGTTTTTCTCCCTCTTTATACTGGAGTTCAGAGCAATCATAGTGCTCTCTTACATATAGTGCAACTCCTCCTCCTTTTCTCCCCTGCCTATTCTTCCTGAACAATCTATACCCTTCCATGACAGCGCTCCAGTCATGCGAGTCATCCCACCAAGTCTCTGTTATCCCAATTAAATCATATTTCTTGGCCTGGGCCAGGGCCTCCAGCTCTTCCTGCTTGTTGCCCAGGCTTCTCGCATTAGTGTAAAAACGCTTCAGGTAACCAGTTGATTGCACTATCTTCTCCATTCGAAACTGGGGTCCTCCTTTCTCGCTCCTTGCTCTATGCATTTCTTCCCGGTATCTGACTTTCCCACTCCCCTCAGGGTTTTGGTCACCGTCCTCAATAAGGCTTTTTTAAAATACTGCCAGCTCTCCTGGGCTCTTTCCCCCTTCATGTTAGCATCCCAGGGGATTCTGCCCATCAGATCTCTGAAGGAGTCGAAGTCTGCTTTTCTGAAGTCCAAGGTGTGTATTTTACTACTCTCTTTTCTTCCTTTGGTCAGGATTCGCACTAAGTCACTCTTATGATCGCTGCTTCCCACCTACCTCTACTTCCCCTGATCCACAGAGCCAGTTATCTCACCACGGAAGCTAATCAGATTGGTCAGGCATGACTTGCCCTTCATGAATCCATGTTGACTATTCTTAATCACTTTCCCCTCTTTCAAGTGTTTCAAAATGGATTCCTTGAGGATCCCCTCCATGATTTTTCCAGGGACTGATGTAAGGCTGACTGGTCTGTACTTCCCTGGATTGTCCGTCTTCCCTTATTTAAAGATGGGCACTACATTTGCCTTTTTCCAGTCATCCGGGATCTCCTCCCAATCTCCATGAGTTTTCAAAGATAATGGCCAAAGGGTCTGCAATGACATTTGCCAACTCCCTCAGTACCCTTGGATGCATTAAATCCAGGCCCATCGATTTGTGTATGTTTAGATTCTCTAAATAGTTCCTAACTTATTCTTTCCCCACCAAGGGCTGTCTACCTCCTTCCCATGCTGCGTTGCCTAGTGCATTTGTCTGGGAGCTGACCTTGTCCGTGAAGACAGAGGCAAAGAAAGAACGGAGTACTTCAGCTTTACCTGCATTTCAGTCACTAGGTTACCTCCCTCATCCAATAATGGCCCCACACCCGATCACCCTCTTATTGCTAACATGCCTGTAGAAACCTTTCTTGTTATCCTTCGATCGCCCTATCTTCCTCCATTCGAGTTGGGGTCCTCCTTTGTTGCTTGTTCCTCCTTGTGTTTCTTCCCGGTATCCGACTTCCTCACTTACCTCAGGGCTTTGGTCTCCGTCCCCAATGAACCTAGTTTAAAGCCCTCCTCACTAGGTTTGCAAGCCTGCCTGCGAAGATGCTCTTTCCTCTCTTGGTTAGGTGGATCCCATCTCTTCCTAACAATCCTTGTGCCCGGAACAGAGTCCCATGGTCAAAGAAACCAAAGCCCTCTCTCCGACACCACCTGCACAACCATGCATTTACTTCCTCAATTCACTTCCCTACCCGGACCTTTTCTTTCAACCGGAAGGATGGATAAGAATACCACTTGTGCTTCAAATTCCTTGATCCTTCTTCCCAGCTCTACATAATCTGCTGTCACCTGCTCAAGGTCATTCTTGGCCACATCGTTAGTTCCTACATGGAGAAGCAGGAAGGGGTAGCAAGCCGAAGATTTAATCACTTTCAGACGACTCTCAGTCATATCCTGAATGCGAGCTCCTGGTAAGCAGCACACTTCTCGAGATTGCAGGTCTGGACAGCAGATGGATGACTCAGTCCCGCTTAGGAGGGAGTCCCTGACCTTCACCACCCGTCTTCTTATTTTGGGGGGGGTGGTCGTGGAACTCCCATTCCTAGGACTACACATCCCATTGTCACGTTACTGGATTTTGAGGGGAGCAGCCAGATCACTGCTATGCCCGGGGGAGGGGAGAGGGTTTTTCCCCAAAATTGATACAAAGGGGGCCATGTAAGGTGTCAAACGAAAGCTTTCCTTTTACTGGTTCTGTATATGCTATCCATATACTTGTATAGTATCTGGGTGTGGAATTATGAATGTGTATTCTGTGTCAATACTGGAAACTTCTCTGTTTGAGGCTGAGCAATAGGCAAGGAATGCTCAGCCTATAGACATGCTAATGAGCAAAGCTCCTGGAAACAATGGACCTCTGAAGGCCAAAGACACACCTGGCCACTGGCCAAGTGACTCTCTCCAGCTTGGAAGAAGCCAGGAGGGGATATAAATATGCCATGTGGCCGACTCCATCTTGGTGCTCAGCTCAGCTCTTCATCCCAGAGGCAAGAGTGCAGGGATCAAGGAGCCGGAAAGAACTGTGGACCCATCCTGATGTGGGATGTACACCAAAGACTTTTAAGCCAGCCGTCATAACATCTCCACTGCGAGCCTGCATCGAGAACTGGGAGATTCGATGCATGTAATGTAGGGTACTTTAACAACCTTACTCTCATGCTTTTCTTTCTTGTAGTAATAAACCTTTAGGCTACGTCTACACTGGCCCCTTCTTCGGAAGGGGCATGCTAATTTTGATTTAATCACTTTCAGACGACTCTCAGTCATATCCTGAATGCGAGCTCCTGGTAAGCAGCACACTTCTCGAGATTGCAGGTCTGGACAGCAGATGGATGACTCAGTCCCGCTTAGGAGGGAGTCCCTGACCTTCACCACCCGTCTTCTTATTTTGGGGGGGGTGGTCGTGGAACTCCCATTCCTAGGACTACACATCCCATTGTCACGTTACTGGATTTTGAGGGGAGCAGCCAGATCACTGCTATGCCCGGGGGAGGGGAGAGGGTTTTTCCCCAAAATTGATACAAAGGGGGCCATGTAAGGTGTCAAACGAAAGCTTTCCTTTTACTGGTTCTGTATATGCTATCCATATACTTGTATAGTATCTGGGTGTGGAATTATGAATGTGTATTCTGTGTCAATACTGGAAACTTCTCTGTTTGAGGCTGAGCAATAGGCAAGGAATGCTCAGCCTATAGACATGCTAATGAGCAAAGCTCCTGGAAACAATGGACCTCTGAAGGCCAAAGACACACCTGGCCACTGGCCAAGTGACTCTCTCCAGCTTGGAAGAAGCCAGGAGGGGATATAAATATGCCATGTGGCCGACTCCATCTTGGTGCTCAGCTCAGCTCTTCATCCCAGAGGCAAGAGTGCAGGGATCAAGGAGCCGGAAAGAACTGTGGACCCATCCTGATGTGGGATGTACACCAAAGACTTTTAAGCCAGCCGTCATAACATCTCCACTGCGAGCCTGCATCGAGAACTGGGAGATTCGATGCATGTAATGTAGGGTACTTTAACAATTCTGCTACAAGCCCGCATCGAGAACTGGGAGATTCAATGTATGTAATGTATAATACTTTAACAACCTTACTCTCGTGCTTTTCTTTCTTTTAGTAATAAACTTTTAGATTTTAGATTCTAAAGGATTGGCTCAGCGTGATTTTGTGGGTGAGATCCAGAGTGCAAATCGATCAGGATCTGTGGCTGGTTTCTTGGAACCGGACAAACCCGTTCGCGGTAGGTGAGATTGGGTTCTAAAATCCCACACCTGTAGGCAGGCCCGGAGCTGTTTGGGGCACGGAGAGAGCTGGGGTGTCAGAGGGGTTTTGCTGTGAGGCTTCTGGCTGTCCAGGCAGGCAGCGGAAGCGCTCTGTCTTTGGGAAGTTCTCCAATCTGGGGCTGTATGTAGCCCCTAGTTTGAGCAATTCGCCCTGAGCAGACGCCCTCAGCTGTGCCCAGACCCGGCCCGGTCTGTCACACCCATGCCTTCCGGTAGATGGTGCTCCCTTCTGACTTCTTCCCTGAGAGGTCCCTGACAAAGTGTTCTCCACCGCAGTGCCTGTGGAGAGAGCCTGAAAGCGGTTACTTACCGCTACAAGAATGGGGGATACCTGAGTTGGCCTTCTTCTTCTAAAGGCTACATGCTGCCAGTTTTCTTCCTTGTCCTGTACTGCCCTGGCTGGCTGGCTCTTCAGCCTGCTGTGCCTGCAGGATTAAACTCTGCCTTCTATCGAGGAAGTCTTCATCCTCTCTGATGGAACACAGAGTTGATACTTGGACCTCAAATCCTCTAATTTTTGCTTCCAAAATGGTGACCAGCTTGCACTTAGTGCACATGAAATCTCTTCTATCTTCCGGGAGGAAGACAAACATAGCACACACTGTGCAGGTAACAACAGCTGATCTATCACTATCCATACCTGCTTCTGCGAAATTCCTCAGTTGTTGTTAAATGCCTCCTTGAAGGGCAAGAGTGTAGTGAAAAGATTTTAAAGAATGACAAGTGTATCTCACCCCCTTTCCACTCCCCTCCCAAACTCCCTGTTAGCAGCCCCTGTTCACAATCACACAGGGCTACTGGTAATGGATTACATCGTAAGTGGACAGGAAGCTGCATGGGGTCATGCACATATTATTTCACCTACAGGCAACCCTGTCAGACAGATTAGCTGTTCATTAACTAAATTCTGCCCTTAAAAAGGCATTAAATTCTAGACAGTGTAATTGAATTCAAGCTTTACAGGGATCACTGACCCAACCACCCCTGCCTCTACAAGCAAAAAATTTATTTTCTTTGTTCTCTTAATCTTGGGTTTTCTTCCACAGTTTTACCAACATACGTCAACTCTAACCTATATGATCGATCACTCTAACGCGTTGTGTATCAAATTCATCCCCGGTACAATGTTAATTTAGGCACTGGAGATTAATTTAGTTTCAGGTTTGGAAATAGTACTGGCTATTTGCAATGATCAGTAGAGGTAAAACAATGGATGCCCCTCTGGCCCCAAACTCCAAGTCCTGAAATATCCCTTACCTGCAGCAATCTGTGTTCCAGAGTAGCCAGTTCTAAGTACTGGGTGTCTTCCCGGGATACTCGATCCAAACGATCCCGAACTTCCTTCAGTTTGATCTGCTGGGCTTCTACGCTCTCACGAGCCTCTCGTACAATCCCTCGGGCTACCATGAACACTTTCTCAGCCTGAAAAGAGATTGTAAATAGGGATGTGCACATATAGTCAAGTAAACAATTAACCAATGAGCCTGAGCTTATCGGTTAGTCCTATCAACTACACACACTCCCCTCCCGCCCACTGCCTCTGTATCAGAAGCAGCAAGGGAGCAGAATTGGGAGCCAGTGCCCACAAGGAGCTGGCTTTAAGCAGGCTCCCCAAAAGCACTGATAGAGAAGCAAAAGCACAGAGGGTGAGGGGGGCAGGCGGGAGCCAATATGGATGGGGAAAGAATTAAGCTAGCTCCCCGCATGTATTGGCTCCCACGGACCCACCTGCCCCACATTGCTGCCTCCTACAGAGACAGTGTTGGGGGAAGCCTCTGTCTTCGGGAAGCCCAAGGGGCAGCAGCACAGGATGGCAGGCAGCCGGTCTGCAAGGGGAGCTAGTTTTCAAATGGGCTTCCCATGCAGACCAGCTTCCAACTGCCACCCTGCGCCGCTGCCTCTGATAGAGAGGCAGCAGCAAAGGATGGCAGGTGGCTCTCCAGGAGTGGAGTAATAGCACACTGGCTACTGCTCCCACCCCCAATATTTTATGCAGTTACTTGACTATTCAGTTACATGATATCTAACACTCCTAATTGCAAACAGGTTCCCAATTGTCACTGAGTTCGTCTAAATTGCTGACTTACAGGGATGCAAATCTAGAGAAGGGAAAATTCTCAGTTAACAAGATCCCGAAGACAAACTGCTAGGCTTGAATACATTTAGAATGTTAATTCGTTGGTTCATTTCGAGCAGAGAAGATAGACAGTAGGTCCTTTTCCAAAATTCAGTGAAGGAGTCTCATTTCTACTGGTGAACAGAGTATCTGCAGTCTTTGTGACCTGCGGACCTCAATGCCAACTGGCAGAGGGCACAGCCATGTAGAAGGTTTACAGGGATCCCCTAGAACTGGTATCTACGTGCTAGCTGAAAGAGAGTCGTGTGAGATCTTTCCCAAAAGCTGTGTTTCACAATTATGATGAAGACGAGTGTAAGTGCATGTAAAGTGCTGGGTATATATTGAAAACTATGCTCTAAAGGTGTGCCATGCCATTTTGGCCTGGTCACCAGAATGAGAGAAAACAGATTTCTTCGGACAAGAGATTAGGGATGTGAACGACTAGTCGACTATCGGATAAGCATTTGCTTATCCGATAGTTGACAGACTAGTCGCTCCCCCCCCCCCCCCCGTTGCTTCCTCTATCAGAAATAGGCAGAAGGGAGGGGGGAGGAGGGAGTGCTTCAAAGCAGCTCCACCACTTTGAAATGCTGCATGCAGCCTATGGCCAGCTGGAATCCTGGGCTGCACATGGCTTTGTCAAAGTGGAAATGTTGCATGGAGCCCATGTTCAGCAGAGGAGTCCCAGCTGACCCCAAGCTCCACATGGTTCTGCCACTTTGAAACGCTGTGTGAATCTTGATGGTGGCCGATCCTGGGCTCCATGCGGTGCTGCCACTTTGAAATGCTGCAGAGAACACGAGACCAGCAGGGGACTATTTGAAAACCCACAGCGTTTTCGCCTTTGAAGTGTAGCAACAGTCCTGAGGCTGTTGCTACACTTCAAAGGCAACAGCACCCTTATCGACTAATCGAATAGTCGAAGCAAATTGCATCGACTATTTGATTACCAAAATAATCAAAATTTTACATCCCTACAGGAGATAGTTATCTGATTACATGTAAATGGAGTATTACATGGTTCACAATGGGTGCCCATTTATGTTCTTGAGAGTGAATTTAAAGAAGAAATAAACTATCAGGAAGTCCTGTTTACAAGTGAAGATAATGGATTTTTGAACGACTATAACTGTAACTATCGGTATAGAGCTACACTCTGCATTGTTTACGGAAGAGAAAAGAGGAGAGCCCTGCAGAGCAGGATGAGAGCTCCCAGCTGCAAACCACAGTTGGACAGGATTAAGTTCTAAAATGAATCGTATGATTTTGTGTAATACCTTGTTTTCAATATGTCCATCTACTTGCTATTACCTGAATCTTTGCTTGTTGTTAAATAAACATCTTGTTTTTATTAAAAGCATGTTTAAGTGCTATGTTTTCCTGCGGTAAAATGAGTAGTACATCAGCCAGTCCAGTTCCGTTGGGAGAAGGGGATCTGTTCATTCTGGAAGCACCCAGTGGAACAGGGCTGGGCACTCCATAGGGATATGTGGAGGACTTGAGGGCTGGAGTGTACCTCTGATTAACCTGTAGAGACAGTGGGCCTGCAGAGCTCTGGAAGGCAGTATCTGTATAACTACAGGTTGGTGGTGTTGGGGAACTGAACCACAGCAAGCACAGACAAGATTTCTAGGTGACGGCAAGATGACTCAGAATCCTGGGTGCCCTGGAGAAGTGTCACTATTTTCCTTTCTATTTCACAGCTAGAACATATGTTTTAACAAAACAGCTTATCACTTGCTGCATGCCACACTGCTCCTGTATCGTAACTGTACACAGGATTACCTCTGTCACTTTTCCTTGAGCCTCTCGAACTTCAATAAGACCAACAAACTCTTCATATCTATCCCACCAACTTTTCATTGTTGTAGAAATTCTTCTGAGGGAGTTTCTTCCCCAAAATTTCCCTAATTCTGTCATCCGATGAAAAAGCATCATGGCCATTTCCGTTGCAGTCTCAGTGTCAGGCTTCTTAGGTGCTGGTGAACAATAAGCTCTCCTTATATGTAAATTTGTTCTTTGGCTCCTTGGGATAAATGAATGGCGGTACTGCATGCCATACCACACTGAGGATATGGCACCATTACACCTCATGGGATCTAAATCTTGAATCCAATCACTTATTAAAATGACTGCAAGAATAAAGAAACAAAGAAAAAATTAAATGAAAAGGAAATTAATACCTCTTCAATCTAATTTATATAAAGCTGTAAAAAGACGCATATGTGCTTTTTAAAAAAACAAGAACTTAACACTAATGATGGCTTCACGACCATTAATTACCTAGACTACATGTGGATATCTTCTATGACACAGGTGGGAAACCTAATGCATGGGGGCTGAATGTGGCCCCTAACCTAGCTTGGATCTGGCCCCTGAGGTTCAGGGCACCCCCCCAATCCTAAGCCTGGAACTGCAGCCCCACCGTCGCCCCACAGTGGGGCTGGAACACACAAAATCTACTAGCCTAGGCCCTCCAAGGCTTTGATGTGTGAGAGGAATGCCTTTTTCCTTCTCAGTCAGGGCCCATGTCAGAAAGGGTTAGTTTGTTTTGGTGTTTTTTTGCTTCTCATTTGTGTGCAGCCCCCAACTGCTATTTCTGTGGGTCAGTTGCCCCAGACCCAAAAAAGGTCCCCCCGGTTTACATATCATGTTTTTAATCAAAATGTCTATGTATGACAGTTCTGCTTCTTGCAAGAATTTCCCTCATGCCTCCTGATTACTAATTCACTCAAGGGACCTTGAAGAGTGGACTTAGGCAAAATTGGTACAATTGCCTCAAAGAAGCAAGTACATACACACCCCTAAGAAATTAAGTGCTGAGGTGAAGACAGACAAATGCACAAGGGCCAGAGGTAAAACAGTGCCAAAATTTAGTATTCAACTTAGGGTTGCTTTCTCAAATAGGCTAGAAAGGCGCATACATTTTTCCAACGCCCCTTCCACAACTATGTGTCCTATCAGTGTGAAACTCAATATTCATTTCTTTTAAAATTGTTTTATTTCACTCTACGATTTTAAATTAGAAATGTTGACCAAAACTTTAAAAAACACTGACTCACTACAGAAAACTTGGTATCAAGTTGGGTCCCAAGTTCATCTAGTACAACAAGCAGTTAAATAGAATTTAGGGTTCAAAAAAAGAGAGTCACCCTAGGAAATTAATACAAGCTTTCAGTATGGAACTGTGATACGCTGCCACACAAACACACTTCATTTAATTAACTTAAGAGCAGGGGTTTGGAGCGGAGCCTGGAGCTGGAGTGTGGAGCAGTGGAGCTGCAGGTTTTTGCCTGGAGCTGGAGTGGAGCCAGAGCACAGAAAATCTTGACTGCTCCACTACTCCAGTTTTCTTTTTTTTCCAATCCAAAATGAATATTTTAGCAAGAAAGTCCTAAAGGTGCCAAAAAGTTTCAGATTGCATAACAACTGATATTAACATCTACTTTACCATTTTATGTCATATGTCTCAGTTATTCTCTCTTCGGCTGAAATCAAGATTTAATGTACAGATACAAAATTACAAAGTTTTTTGGAGATATGTTTTATTAAAGAATCAGATAATTATCAGAATCTGGAAAAACTGCAGACTGATCCCACCCTTATGCCAAGATTAGGCGAGTATGTACTTGCGTAGATTAGATAGTTAGATTTAGTATGTGTTTATTTTCAACTTGGTAACGTGTAGCCTCGTTACTTCCCAACGATTAATGTTGTAGAACAGCGATAGCACGTACTAATGCTACGGCATATACCAAATTTCATTGATATATCTATATTAAAGCGTTTTTGAGATATTAGAGACTTGGAAAATATTTCAAATATTTTTACCGCAAAATGTCATAAGAAAAACTAACTTGCAATTTATAAATAAAAATTTACATTATGTATATTAAAAATACTACTTACTTCATTAAAACTGCAAAAAACATGTTAAAATATTAAAATATACTTTAATAATAGTTTTGTGTGAAAAGAAAATGGGATCATTTTTGTCCAGAAAAATCCAAAATAAATTCGAAGTACCTTAAGTGGTTAAGATATCACAAGCAGGGACATTATAACAAATGTAATGCTTTTGTTCATTGCTTTTCAAAGATCATAACAAGAAAAATTTGGATGCGGTAGCAGCACAAGAAGATTTGGCTATGGCTTCAACAACAACAACAAAAAAATCAAATCTGCCCCGCATGATTGATAGCCAATTTATGGAATAGGATCTCAACGATGTCTTTACTTTTGAATTTGAAAAGCCCAAATTTGGGCTTTTGGGAAAAGCAAAGAAGAAACTGGCAATGTGCACGGTGGAAAAGGAAGTGAATGGCGAGCTCAAACCATGTAGCTTCAAGACAAGTGAAGAAAGTGCCGTGAAAAGTTTCAACCTTTGGTGGCATGTAAAACGTAACCATCCTGAAAACTATGCGGCTCATGTTACAAAAAAGGACCAGGAAGATGAGGCAAAATAGAAACCTGATGTGGCTAAACGACGTTCATCTGGCTCTTTGAAACTGCTGGAGAAAAGATTTTTTGCAGAGCTTCATCTGAAAAGAAACCCAAAATTGAGCAAACAAAACTTGACTTATGTTTGAAGTCCTCAAAGGTTCCAGTCACCATGGATGCCAATACTTTCCATGAAGGGCTGATGGAAATAGATTGCTTGAGTTCAACACCACTCACTACCTTCTGGCTACAGAACAAAGGATTCCAAAAAATTTCAGATGAAATAGGTCGGCAGCATAACATTTCAATGGGGCACGATGCAGTTCGTCATTTAGTTGTCAGGACAGCTGAGTCTGGTCGCGAAGAGCTCAAGAAAACTTTGGAGCAAAAACTGTGCTACCTGAAAATGGATGCGGCAACCTGTGGAAACAGAAATTTGCTTGCAATCAATGCTCAGTACTACGAAGAAGGAAAAGATAAAGCTGTGGTAAAAACTTTGGACATAATCGACACTGAAGGACATCACAATTCTTTCTATGTGAAAAGTCAAGTAAAAGCTATTTTAGAAAAATTTGGGATCAGTGAAATGCAAGTGCTGAGCATCTACGTTAACAATGCAGCAAACATGACGTGTGCCATCAAAAATTTCAGTGAGGACAATGAAACCATTTCTACCTCTGAGAACAGGGATGTGGACAGAACTGAAGCTATTTTGCCTGATGAAGGAACTAAGGGAATAGATGAAATCGAACTCAACATGGATGCTGCTGCGCAATGGGTTAATGACCCTAGCCTCATACTTCCAACATGGCTTCACGAGGACGACTCAAAAGCACAACTGATGAGGTGTGGTATTCACATTTCAGTTGGCAATCTGGGATGGACTGAACAAAGAGCCAGCGAAGAAATTTCTGGCAAAAATTTGACACGTCATTGTCAAACTATGAACCCCAAGTGTTCAAAGTGTTCTGCTTGATCTATATGGGGTAACTCAATCATTGGATACTGTGACTCACTGGGGTTCAACATTTGCGATGATTGATCGGCTTCTTGTTTTTCAATCTTACTGTGAACAAGTGGCTGCTGCTGGAACAAGAGAACTCAAGTTAACAAAAGCTGAATGGGACGAAGTGAAGAACCTGTGAGACCTCTTGGCAAAGCCAAACCAAACAACTGTGAATCTTCAAACTGTCGATGTAACCCTGGGAGTTTTAATGAAGGAATGGTGAAAACTGTCAACATACTTGCAAGAAAATGGTGGACAAATTGCAGAAGGAATTCTATCCTCCATGCAGAAATACGAAGAGAAGCTTTTTGACAATATTCATTTCCTTGCTGGAGTTTATGTTGACCCACGGTATCAGATTCTTCTTACCTCAAGGGAAATACCAAAGGCAAAGGAAGGACTCCTTGATATTGCTCGACGACTCGAAAAACAAAATCTATTGCTACATTTGAACTTGGTAAAAGAGACTGAAGAAAACGAACACAACAAAAGGAGTCATCAACAATCGAATTTGCGATTTCAGAAAGTTCACATCTTTCAGAAATAGCAGGCTGTTCTCAAACTTCTGTCTCCACTCTGATCTTGTTCAAGCGTCCATCCCTGAGACGTCTTCAACCATCACAGGGAAATGGAGATAATTAAAGCACCAATTCTTCAGATGATGACTTCAAAAAGGAATTGAATAAACAAGAAAGACGCCAGCGAGAATTCATAATTGTAATAAAGCATTATTCGAGAGAAACATTCGGGAAGATTGTGAGGTGATGGAATCTATTGGTAGGCTAAAAGTTAAGTCTGTTTTTGAGGCCATTCACAGCTACCCACACCGCATTCAGGCTGCCTGTAGAATTGCTTCGAGCACGCCAACAACTCAAGCTAGGGTACAGCGACTGTTTTTGGCTTTAAAGTTAATTTTAAATGATCTGCGGCAGGCTATGAAAGACGACTTGATTGCTGCAAGAATTTTTTACAGATTTAATTATGAATTATTCTAGACCGTATCATTGTTGATGAAATTTAAATTGTTTTAAAATACTGAATAAAAATAATGTTTTTTCAAAATTACAGTATGCACCTTTTTATTTAGTTAAAAATTAATTGAGTCGGAGCATGGAGCGGAGTCAGAGCAGAGCTGGAGCAGTCACTATTGGTGCTGAAGCGGAGCAATTAAAAAAATTTGATTGCTCCAAATCCCTGCTTAAGAGTTAAGATTTTTTTTTTCAAATATATTTCCTCACACCAGCACAAAAACTAGTCAGACATTTCATAGAATACTAGAACTGGAAGGGACCTCAAGAGATCAAGTCCAGTCCTCTGCCCTCAGCGCAGGACCAAGCACATAGAACCATAGAATCAGAGAACCATAGACCTGGAAGAGACCTAAGAAGGTCATCAAGTCCAGCCCCCTGCTCTAGGCAGGACCAATTCCAACTAAATCAACCCGGCCAGGGCTTTGTCAAGCCGAGACTGAAACACTTCTGGGGATGGAAACTCCACTACTTCCCTAGGTAACCCATTCCAGTGCTTCACCACCCTCCTAGTGAAAGTTTTTTCTAATATCCAACCTGGACCACTCCCACCACAACTTGAGACCATTGCTCCTTGTTCTGCCATCTGTCACTACTGAGAACAGCCTCTCTCCATCCTCTTTGGAACCTCTCTTCAGGAAGTTGAAGACTGCTATCAAATCCCCACTCACTCTTCTGCAGCTTCTGCAGACTAAACAGACCCAACTTCCTCAGCCTCTCCTCATAAGTCATATGCTCCAGCCCCCTAATCATTTGGTTGCCCTCCACTGGACACTCTCCAATGCATCCACATCCTTTTTGTAGTGGGGGGCCCAGAACTGGACACAATACTCCAGATGTGGCCTCGCTGAAGCTGAATAAAGGGGAATAATGACATCTCTGGATCTACTGGCAATGCTCCTCTTAATGCAACCTAATATGCCATTAGCCTTCTTGGCTACAAGGGCATACTGTTGACTCTCATCCAGCTTGTCATCCACTGTAACCCCCAGGTCCTTTTCTGCAGAACTACTACTTAACCAGTTGGTCCCCAGCTTGTAACTGTGCTTGGGAGTCTTCCATCCCAAGTGCAGGACTCTGCACTTGTCCTTGTTGAACCTCACAGATTTCTTGTGGCCCAATCCTCCAATTTGTCTAAGTCATCTCTGCCCTCAAGTGTATCTACTTCTCCCCCAGCTTAGTGTCATCCGCAAACTTGCTGAGGGTGCAATCCATCCCCTCATCCAGGTCATTAATAAAGATATTGAACAAAACCGGTCGTAGAACCGAACCTAGCACCATCTAGATCATCCCTGATAAGATGACTATCAAGCCTGCTGTTAAATATCTCAGGTGATGGAGATTCTACAACCTCCCTAGGCAATTTATTCCAGTATTTAACCACTCTGACAATTAGGAAGTATTTCCTAGAGTACATCTACACTGCATGGCTATTTCGGGAAGCAACTGTCTCTCTAAATCTCTCATGTTAGAGATTTCTGATGCTTATCGTCGTCTTCTTGGTTATGTCTGTGATGTTGTCTGTCTCCTTGCAATTGTATTTGATGCTCTCGTCCAGTTTTCATGGCCTAGTTATTTATCTAATGTTCTCTCCACAATACCAATCTCTTTTCGCATTTGGGAGACATTTCCATTGCATACAGATTGTGTTGCACATATAGGCTTGCTCCTGCCTTTTGCACACAGGAATTTCACACTGACTTTCTTTAGACTGCCATTCAGCCATTGCTGAGGCAAATTGTTAACTGGCATCACATAGGCTGCGGTGGGGAACCTAAGTCCCGGGGGCTGGACGCGGCCCCCAACTCGCCTAGATCCAGACCGACATTTCCATTGCATACAGATTGTGTTGCACATATAGGCTTGCTCCTGCCTTTTGCACACAGGAATTTCACACTGACTTTCTTTAGACTGCCATTCAGCCATTGCTGAGGCAAATTGTTAACTGGCATCACATAGGCTGCGGTGGGGAACCTAAGTCCCGGGGGCTGGACGCGGCCCCCAACTCGCCTAGATCCAGACCCTTGAGTACTAGCTTGGGTCCCCCTACCCTCTGGTGTGTGAGGGGAATGTGGGGAGGAGCTTTCTTCTTTCCAGTCGGGGAACATGTTAGTGAGGGGTTTTTGTTTTTTTGCTTCTCACTTGTGTGTGGCCCTCAACTGATTTTTCTGAAGGTCAGCAGCCCCTATCCCAAAAAAGTTCCCCACTCCTATTTATATTTATTTCCTATTTAGGTATATTATGTTGGTTTTGAATTGTACAATCTCACTCAACATCTGCAGGAAGGAGAACTGAACGAGAAACTTTTAAAGTAGGAGACTCAGAGGGGGACGTGATAGCCTGTAACTTAAAAAAGAAGCGGTCCTGTAGCACCTTAGAGATTAAAAATATTTTCTACTCTCTCCACACACACACACACACACACACACACACTTGTTTGTGTTCCCCATTTCCCCCACTCTTCTGTAAACCAGGCCTCCATTCTAACATCTTCTAAAACAAAGGGCTCTGTATTTGCACCATTTCTCCTCTCCCTTTTTACCAGGGTTGCCCTTTCTTCCACCACATGCCAGAGCTTTCTGTGCAATCACACACAGACAGGGAAATGCTACAGAGCTCACATTTGCTGCCTGGCACTTGGTAAACACAGGGGAAAAGGTTAAGGTGGAATCCAACATGACAAGAAAGAGACAAGGATGCGTGTCTGTGGCCAACAAGGATAGGACGAGGAAGAATTCTATGCAGCTGTTTCCAATTGATACCAGATCCTCACAGGAGAAATTACAGAAGATACCTCCTCTGACATAGATAATCCAAGAGAATGCAGAGATGCACTGGAGACACGTTGGGATGGCAGCTCAGAGCAGGCTGTAAGAAAAATCAAGCTTGTCCCCAAAGATTTCTACAACTCTCTAAGGAAGACTGGTGATCCTTACTGAGAACTGAGTACAGGCAGTCCCCGGGTTACGTACAAGATAGGGACTGTAGGTTTGTTCTTAAGTTGAATCTGTATGTAAGTCGGAACTGGCGTCCAGATTCAGCCACTGCTGAAACTGATCAGTTTCAACAGCGGCTGAATCTGGATTTACATACAGATTCAACTTAAGAACCCCAGGTATCCCCAAGTCAGCTGCTGCTGAAACTGATCAGAGGCTGATTCCAGGAAGCCCGGGGCAGGGGGGTCCCGTAGGCAGCCCC